CTGGGTAGTTGCTGCATGTTTTTGGCATGCGAGGTAGGTGTCGAACATCAGTACCTCATTTTCAGGTAGTCAGTGAAAAAAAGGTGGGGGGAAAAAAGGCTATTTGCCCAAGTATGCTGCTACCAGAAGTCTCAGATTTCAATCAAGGGTAACTGCTGATCTGCAGAACCAAGATTATTCTAAATCCCAAGGAGGACCAAAGAGAATATTTGAAGAAAGGTAAATCAAAGAAATTGTGCAGAAACATTCTCAATTCATCAGCTATGCAATTACACTCCTTCTAAGTGTTTTGTTTGAGATGCTAATAGTACATGCTTTGAAACACTAGTTGCATACCTAATGTCCTTAAAGCAATCCCAGATGCTGTTAGTGTTTAAGTAGCATTAACTAAACTTATAACTAGATAAGATTTACTGCAGAACTGAAACTGCTGTACTGCTAGGTGGCTGTTGGGAAGGATGATTTAGTTTAAAAAAGAACAATTTATTTTTTAAAAAAGTTATGATTTGGGTCTTGACACAGCTCTTAATGGTGCCCATGAGAAAAACATAAAGGATCAGTTTTGGTTGCAATTGCGTGATTCAAGGGGCGGTTGCATCTCCCTGCTAGGAACTACAGCTAGGAATCAAAAATTGGAGGGAATGAAATAACTGGCTGTTTTTAAATTTGATGAGAAAGGCACATGGAAAAAAGGAGGATTGAGACATAGGAAAAACACCTTAAATGGGGAGAATGAGCAAGAAATTGACACTGTGGTGTCTAATGAACAGGATGAAAGGAAAAGATAAGACAATAAAAGAAGATTAGGAAAAGTAGGTTGATCAGGAAGAGATCAAGTTAATTTTGATCAATGTCTCAGACCATATTATGGGGAAGATACAATGCATTCTGTGTGAATCTGTTCAATTGTAGGAAAGACTACCTGACAATTAAAATAAATATTTATAGCTGCAAATACTAAATATGTAGCTAAAGTAATAAACTGCAAATGATTAAATTTCATACTGCTGTACTTTCAATCTGTATACTTTGGGCTAAAAAAAACTTCCCAAAGCATTTAGATAAACTGCTAAAATAAGTCTGGTTGGCACTGGTTAATTTGTAATGCAGACTTTAATCAGCAGTTATTATGGCGGTAACTCCAAAACTGAAAACAAATGAGCAGAAGGCAATTTAGAAAGCACCTTAAAATGCCAGGTGTATCAGTATTATATCCTGAATTTATCTTATGAAAATTTAAACAGTGGTTAGAAATACAACTTAAATACTAATAAGAGTTGCAACAGTCTTGAGAAAGCAGGGACATGCAGGAAAGTGGATTAGGAAATATAATAGGAATGCAAATGCAAAGATTTATGGAGATGGGAACACCATTTATTTGTATTTTCTTTTTTGGAGAAATAAGGAGAAGAAAGTCAGATAACCACAGTTATCGTCTGTATAAATTCAGAGCTATATTTCTCACAAACAAACTTGCAACAGTTCTATAGAACTACAGGTAAGACAGATAAATCTAATTTTGAACAAATGGTCTAAGGAACTAAAATTTTAGATAGGTCATCAGGAATAGCAGCTGTCCCTGAGGAAAAAAGCTGCAAATCCCTTCTTTTGCCATCCTAATCCTCTACTCCCCCTTCCTCCAACTTAGCTTTATTGATCTACTCTGTAGATCTGCTGTCTGAAGCCGGCAAGAGCAGGAGACAAAAAACGAGCTCTTACCATTTTTTATAGTTTCTTCTTTCTGGTTAAAATGGACTACTTAAAAAAAAATAAATAAAAAGAAAAAAATTAGAAGTCACTTGAATTTGACAAAATAAAGGTACTCTCTCTATTCCAGAAATAATTAACCTAAATAAAGTGCATTTGCAGATATCTTGAGCTGACATCATCCAGATGCTCAACACTCTTTGAGCATCTCAATTATGGGGTCAATGTGATTCCCACCCAGCTTAACGGGCCATTCTGGAGGATTTTTCTCTTTTGTGGCTAGTGTGAGAAAAAAGGTGGAGATCTCTCCTAGTAAGTACTAACTAATGTCACTCTGGTTAAGAAGTAGTCCATGACTTGTAGTAACTCTGGTCTGTCCTACTTTTATCATATAAAGCACCGTGAAGCAGCTGTATTACACTGACATGCATATTAACTGCCTAAGAATATCCTTAGCTCAGCTGACTACAAAGCAGGATTTCAGTATAAACAGCAAAGTTACTTCAGGAGATTTGCCTCAGTGTGGCAGGAAGCATCTTGTGAGAAACGTAAAGTGACTTTCCCTCTAATTCACCATGTCTAGTTACTGTAGAGATAAATTTTTACATGATTAATCAAATACTTAAAGAGCTCTTGACAAAGTTTCTCAAGCATTTACTCAGTCAACTTGCATCAGAATTATCTTACTGCTACTATTTTTTTTCAGCATCCCTTAGTGGAGAGAAAGCTGGAAGTCAGAGCTTCCCTGATTTTCACAAGAAATGCCTTTTGATCTATCTAATACAGAAAAAAATAACACAAGTTAGGTGTGGGCAGAGTGTTCATCGTGGATAGCTGTGAATACTTAATCCCTGATTAAGCAGTCCATAATTTTAGAACCTTGCTTTTCTTCCTAACAATATATCTCTAATAAAATCAAAGTATTAAGTCTGAAATATCAAAAAATTATCTATCAACTAGATGACTCAACTACAGAGTCTATTCAAAACATATAGACAGATTTAAACGGATTTCTTCCCTCTTGCTTACAAATACAGAGTGCCTAAACAAAAATCATATCCTATATTGAAAACATTAGAAGGAATCAAATTTACCAACCTCTATTTTAAGTGCTATTAATGTCCCTTCCTGAAAAAATGTAGACCCTGACCTTGCATAGTTTTAAAATTCCTGTGGCTTCCAAAATGTTTGTAAAAACATGCATCGTGATGAAATTTGAAACTTTTGATATGTAGCAGACTCAGACTAAGAGTCTAATCTAGGTGTATTGAATTCTGAATAGCTGCCTTCAAATATTTCTTAATTTGCAGGAGACCATAGCGATGAACGGGATAAGAAGTGTGATAATAAAGTTCTTCAAACTTTTCCTGGACCATCAGAAGGAGGTAAGATTTATGGGAAGTTCTGCAAGAAGTTCTCCAGAATATGAGGTGTTCTGCTTGGGTGCCTCTTTCCAAGAAGGACTGGACTTCCCAGGTGCTGGGAGAATGGCCTGCTCAGCAGGTAACCATACTTTCTCAGCACCTTAACTTTGAAAAAATTCCATTTACAACTGAATTTGAAAGTCTAAGTGATCTCCACATCTCACTCTCTGAATCCTCTGGCTTCCAGGGTAAATCTTTCTTTAAAGAATTTCATCCGTCTCTGTAGGAACTCTGCTTGTTAGGAAGTAACTGCTGCAGAAGTGTTCTTTAAGTCTGAATGCCAGTTTTTCTCCTTGCTTATGCTGAAGGCACAGAAGCCCTCTGATCCCAAAGATGATAGAAGGCTTTCATATGAAAATACCTGAGCTCTCCAGTGCAGATGACTGCATGAACTACTTCCCTCAACATCTGCTTAAAATCCAAGCCTTGAACTAACTTCTGTGTGTCTATTTAAAATGGAGCCATGATTTATTCTCTGTAAGGAACTTTTCTGTCATGTTCTAATTATCCAGCTAACTCAACTCTAAAATGACTTCTGTTTAGTAAACTGAAAAATAAAAACTGTCACAACCCTTGTAATGTCATTTCAGTGATTTCATCCTCATTTTCATTTACTAGTATTACAGATGTCTTAGTACAGGTTTTGCAATCTCCATTTTGTTATGCTGAAATCAATAACTTCTGTCACATCTTTTTCCCTTTATGGAACATCCAGCTGGCTCAATGAAAACCTCACACTAAACAGTTATCAAAGCATAGAAGAAGAACTGAGAAATTATAGTGTAATTATCATATAATAACAATCATATCCCTGTGCAGTGTTTTCACAGGCTCCTACCGGATCTCTAACAGGCTGTTTCCATTTAGCAAAGTGCTAATAATTCCTGCATGAGAATACTTTGCACTTCCTCATGCAGCACTGTATTAAGCACATGTGGCAAGAATGCCAGCGTGAAGAGAATCGTGAAAGCACGGACATGAAGAGACAACCTCACAACAGGACACAGAGCAGCAAAGAAGAACTCACTGATGGCATGAGCAGGATGCAAACATTAAGGCAGAATAGACAAACTGATGGGAATACATTGCTGAAGAACCTGCTTGCCTCAAGAACCTGGTTGTCAAAGAGAGTGTTTTTGTTCTTGATTTCTGGCTTCTTTTGAAGGACTTCCATAGGCAAATAAATTGAATCTATAGAATGGTCATACTTTGCCTGGGTAAGAAGCCATCCACCAGGAATCCTTGCGAGCATGCACCTGCCTGCAAAGACTTCAGCAAGGGCACACACTCAACACTTCTGAGCAACTATACCCCTTACTCTTTAGCTATGGATAACTACTTTCTGAAACCAGTTGGCTCTATTCCAAGGCTTTCTACTACATACAGATACTAGTGACAGATACTTCTTGTCCCACCCTGGATGCATGTAAACTTTAAGTATTCTGCTTCTTGCAGTATTTGATAGTCAGGACCATTTTACTATCAGTAGTAACAGTCTTGTTTCTGTTATCTTGTGTCATGTCTCTTTCAACAGTCCTCTTCTAGCCTCGCTCAAACCTCCTAGGAAAGTTTCTGCCTAAATTTCTTCTTTTTCTGAATTAGGATACTGAAACTCAGGCCTATAAAGATAATAACTCTTTATCATAGATAATAAAAGTAATAGTTGCTACCATATCTACTATTCTTTCCCTGAAACTAATATTTATGTAAACATTCCTTATTGCTTTATGCAATAAGGGTTCTGATATACATGGACTGTCATTCTCCAAACTGCATAACTATATAAACATGTTTTTGGTCCCATATTAGCCAAAGATAGTATGTGATTTGGAAAATAGGTACTACAATCATCTTACAAGTCTCTTAAAGTGGAAAGTAGAACTACACATTGGAAAGAAGTATGGAAAAACAGAGAGCCACAGCAGCTCTTCCCCATCCAGGGCTTCTGTCCCTTCTCTTCTCTAACAGTCTTCCCAGGTGATCCTTATATCCTCATCTCTCTACCTTTACCACAACCTTCCCAGGTGCTGTTTATATTTCACCAGGCGTTCCTTGTTAACCTCTAATGGTTGACCTCAGAAAATCCTTTTATCCATCAAGCAATCAGCATTATTATTTTCATCCCTGGGCAACCTTTCCTCCTATTCCTTATTCCTACAAAGAAGCACTTGTAACTATGTGGAAGACAAACTTTCCTTTTTTTTTTTTTTTTTTTTCTCTTCCTCTCTCTAATTTTGCATAGGTATAGTTCTTTTTTGTACATATAACTTCAGATAAGAAGTACATAATCTTATGTATTTGTGCTGGGTATATGTAAATCATGATATAAAGTACAAAACTAAAAAGAGGGTAATCCTTGTTTCTGACACAAGGGAATATTAAAGGGAGGGGGGATTAAAATATCAGATTGCACTAGTTATAAATTTAATCTACATTTACTTCATTTTGCAATGAACAGCAAATTAATACAATTTTTGTTCTTACTGAGCAATTATGCTGGAGCTTCATTAATGCTGCATAAATCCAGGCCTCTCCATTCTCATTTTCAGCTGTTCCATGCAGCTGAGCTTTTATTGTAAGCTATATTTGGAGTTTATTAATAGTGGAGCTTTGACTTTTACTACAACAAATTATTTGTGTTCAACATTTGAAGTCTCCTCACCATTCCTTCTAAGACCAGTGACTCTGAAAACTATCACGCTCCTAACACTTTTTACTAACCTTTTAAAAAGAAAGGTACATACTGCACTTATTCCAGACAATTATTGCTGCCACCTACAGTTCAAAAGTACTCCTTCATTTTATTAGGTTGATTTTATTCTGCTTTCTGACTATCAGTCCTGTTTCTAGTATGAATCACTTCCTTTTTGTGTGTCTTTTAAGATCTTCATCTTCTAATAAGACATGAGAAAGCAGGGGACAAGACACCTGAGGAACCATTCTAAGAAAGCACAATCTTTGTGCAGTCTGAGAACCCTAGCTGGCTTTTCATTTCATTACAATAATACACATTTTATGTGCACAATCCCATGTGCTAAAGAAAAACAGACACCTATTTCCACATCTTTCTACTTATGCCATTTTTCTTAAATGGCATAAACAGGAGTGTTTAGGTAATTTCTACTGCTGCAGTTTTATTTTTCTTAAATAAGACCTGGAGCAGTGAGATAACCACATCACAAATCTGTACCAGAAATTAAACAGAGCGAATTTATTAAGAAAACATGTTTTGAGGCATTAAGGCTATAACATGAAGAACTCAATAGTTAATTAAATGCTGTAATTCACATTCTCTATGCAAATTTCATTTAACTTCCTTGTGGCTTATAAAAATAAAATAGTTTATTCAGCAACACTGAAGAAGCTTGTGGGAGAATCTAGAATACAAACCAGTTTTCCCAGACGTTATTTCAGTGCTTTGGATATTAAATATCTTTGCTTCTTTCTTACTGCCATCTTTTACTTTGTTAATGTGGCAAGGATTTCTATGAAACTGCAATTAAAGAGGCTATTACAATGCAAATATATATGGGAATAAGTATGGTACTTGTTATTAGGAAAACAGCAAATAAAAGCCTGGGGCCTGCGCAGCCTGTGCAGAGTGTATCTAACTTCCTAGCATGTGTGGGACATATGTAACAACTTTTGGTTAAAGAAGTTCTGCCTCCTCAACATTAGATCGAAACGTGAACTTCCTGAAAGCAGAAATTGCTCAGATTTTGAGAAGAAAGGGGGAAATTAGCTATTTGTCTGGGCTTAGTTTGACTATTGCAGGTGGTTGTTGTTTTTTTGCCCTTGCACTTACAGTAATCTTTCAAGTGATAAAACTTACTGAATACATCACAATCTCCCCATGTTATTTATTTTAATACTGCACAAATAGATGAATAGGAGAAAAAATAAAAAGTCTCATGAGACCATCCCTCGGACACTGGCTACAGCAGCTGTAAAATAAAATAAAATAAAATAAAATAAAATACAATGGCAAGCATGTTTTTAGTTTAGTTTCATGAGAAATTTTAACTAAAGTAATAGTATGGCTGTTGCCCTTGAACCCTAATAATTTGATCTATTAGCCAATTCAATCAAATTTAGCAAATGTCTAAAGATCACAGGGATACTAAGGGCCGAGAAGATCAATGGCTGGGTAGCAGAAACATATCTGCTTGTCGCCCCTTTGGCAGGAAGGCGTGGGGGGAAGTCAGCTTTGTCCTCCCTGTGTGCCTGGCCCAAGAGCCAGGAGACAGCGGCCGCCTGGCCGCCGGGTATCCGTGTGCGCTCCGGCCACAGGGACTACTGCCTCGTGCTCACCATGGAAATCAAAGAACGGCCAATAAAGACAGATGAGTTTGGGAAAATGAAGCGTCAGGGGTGTCTAGGTGACATGGGAGAGAACAAATTGTGCCAAGTACATAGGACTTGGGAAACAAATCTGGTGTCCGCATCTCGCCTATTCACAGAGCTACTTGTTATTTTAAGAATGTATTTTGATCTCTTTGTTGAAAAGAAGAAAAAGGAATGATTTTTTTCTCAGATTCCCATCCCCAAATTAACTGACAGAACCCATGCCTGGAATGTTTCAGACCTAAGACTGAAGCAGTGCAAAACTGGAGTCACTTAAAATGCAGAAACCATGGGAACGAAATGCCAATCTGAACTAGGCATCGCGGCGTAACAGAACAAAAAGAGTACAGATCTATTCACAATTCACGAAGAAAACACTAGCTTTATACAGGCATGCAAGTATGAGAACTTGGGTTAAGTAGAGCTGGGCAAACTGAGGTGGTTCTGTATGAGATTACTTTCTCTCACTGGAGACAAAATAACAATTCTGTCAAAACAAAAAATCAGTCTGTTAAAGGTTGCCCTTGAGAGTTAAATAACACAGTTGCAAAAGAAAAACAGAATATTATGACTACTAGAACAGACAGTATAAATTCAGGTCCAGGATCCTGCAGACACATGCAAAACCTTCCACAGGCTTTCATATACTAAAAATTAAGTAAATATGTAAGTGCGAATGACTGAATCCATAGTAAACAAGGGCTTGTAAAGCAAAAGATTTTCTTGAGAAGAGCATCTTGGATATATTAATCAAAGTTGCAATCTTAGTATTTTGGACTTCTCAAAAGGAGCGTACACAAAAACTTTAGTAGGATATTCCTGGGGAAAAAAATAATTAGATTACTTGAGATTTCTGTAAATTGTAGTAGCTTAGCAGTTTTCTAAAACGTAGTGTAGAATAGGATTTTTGACACAAATGTTAGAAAACAATCAAACATTTCTGTTGACTGCAATTGGAATGTAAGAGGGTTTCACTATAAGAGGGTATAGTTATAGATATGGTAAACTGGGTATACCTAATCTATATCTAATCAAAGAAAAATATGAAGCTTACACACTTATACTTGGATTTAACTGCCACATTTTATTAACCGAAGCAGCAGCAGGGCCATTCAAAACATAGGATATGAAAGCAAAAGAACATGGAATACTCCAGAAAGAATTTGGGTGCCCATTATTTTGTAGAAGTGCATGTGTGTGGCAGAAAAAGAAAGGCACTGAGAAGCACCACTACATTAGACCTGCATTAAACAGAGAAAAGTAATAAACAAATAAATATGCCAAATAAGCAACAAAATTTCACTCCCACAAAAACTTATTATTTTCCAGGCTGAGCACTGGCTGAGTTAGAGTGTTTTGCAGTAGCTTAGAACTGTGAGCAACTTCAGTCTTAATTTTCTGAAACTGTACTTACAGAAAAATGTGAGGCTGATTCTCTTGTGTACCAAGAAATAGCTCGTTTTACAACCACTTAAGTTATTGACACAACAATCAATTTTTTGTCTGATCAAAATAACCCACAGGAGCACATGTGTTGGCTAACTGCTTGGCTCAGGGGTGTAATAACTGTTTGGAAGGGCAGAGTCCTGTAAGCCATTTCATCAGTGCAGATTTCGATGCAGATGCAGCAGAAGCGACAGTAACAGAAGAAGCTGTAATTCTAATTCCTTGATTGATCCTATGTGATGTCTTAATGTATCTTCTTGTTTGTCAGAGAGTATCCAGAACTACTGAAAATTCCCTGAAAGGCATAATAGCACAGTAAAAACAGGCCTGCAGGCCACACTTCCACAGATTTGCTTGTCTAGGTCAAACTGCAGGACAAAGGATGTTACGGATGTTAGACTCAGCCTAAAGTTCTTGAGTTAAACGCCTTAATAGACCAACGCATTACAATATTCAATTTATGCAGCATGCCACTCCCTGTAATTTGGGACATTTAACTGGGATGAAGGCATAAAACTGGATTCTCCAAAGTCTGTCAGATGCTGAACTAGACAGATGTCTGGAGCACATCTAAGAGATCCAAATAAAAATGCCTGAAAGAGAGGTGTGGGATGAATTTTTGCTACAGTAACTGCATTTTTTTATTCCTCAAATGAATAGCTATTCTTCTCAGCAGAGTCTCTAAATTGATGTCTGCATCAGTCATTTGTGCCACTTAATATTTATATCCATGAAAAGTGGATCAGCTCCAAGAAGAAAGTTTTAAAAGCCTGCGTGGGAACACATGTGATGCAAGTCATTCTCCCAAGACACGGAGGACCTGCATTTAACTCCCTGCTCCCTATTGGGTAGTGCAGGCTGTAAAAATAACCTCCCCAGCTAAGTTAAATACTTTAATCACAGGCCTACTGAACTTAATGAGACACCGGAGCCTTATGCTGGATCCCAGTATCTCCTTAGACCCCCGCCTATCAGCTGAGATGTTCCCACATGTTGGGAGGCGAGGGTCAAACCTGGACTGCGAACCCCAGCTTGTCTCAAACTAGCAGCTCTCACAGGCCAACCATCTTTGGCATCCATCTACCAGCC